CTGGGGGGGTGTGAATGAAGGGGAGGCAGGTGCAGAGTCTCAGCAGGGCGGTGAGTGAGTGGGCTGGAGCCACGCTGGCTCTCCAGTCTCGCTCTCCCCAAGCCGAGACCCTGCACCCCCACACCGCTCACTTGCTGCCTTGCCAAAACCCTGCACCCCACCCCACTCATTCACCTTCCTGCCAAGACCCTGCACCCTCAGCCCCCTCACTCACCAGCTCCAGCTCAGCCCCCCCCTCTCCCTCCACAGCCAGGAGGCTGTGCTGGTCCTGCAGCCTTGTCCCCCTCCTGCCTCCTGCGAGGTTGAAGCGCCAGCGGAACTGCAATGATGTTCTGCTGCTCCCCCATCCCCGCTGCTTCCCATCCAGCTGCCTCCAGCCTGGCTTCTGCTTCTGGGTCTGGGGCCAGTGGGGAACTGCCACCGCTGCCTGCCCCGGCTGGAGGCCTGGCCTGGGGCAGGTAGCAGCAATGGTTCCCTGCGGGGTCGCAGAGCAGCAGAGCCCAGTACCTGGAAGCAGAAGCAAGGATGGAGGCAGCTGGATGGGAAGCAGCGGGGATGGGGGAGCAGCAGAGCTCGCTGAGCACCCTGGGCCATCCCCCACCAAGGCACCGCTGGCTGCCGCCGGGACCTGGGAGCCCAGCAGCAGGTGGCAGAGAGGGGAGCTGGAGCCACCTGTCACTCACCACTTTCAGTGCCTCCTGCTGGCCATCCTGGAGCTCTGCCAGGCACATGCGCCTCCACTGACATCTTCCCTTATATTGTCCCTGTCTACAGCCCTGCTCCCTCCTGGACCTTCCGTTTCCTCTCACAGTTTGGCCCTCCAGCCCGGCCACTAAGCTCCTCCCTTTCCAGGGAATTCAGTTTTTTCAGACCTGCTGACTGGCTGGTGTCTCTCGTGCCTTTGCCACTCCCCAGCTCTGAAGGCAGCACCCTGCCAGCAGCAGCACAGAAGTAAGGGCTGTAATACTTTATCATGCTACTCTTAATTTGGTGCTGCTGTCTTCAGAGCTGGGAGGCTGGCGAGTGGCAGCTGTTGACTGATGGCAGCTCTGAAGGTAGCAGTGCAGAAGTAAAGGCAGCAATGCCATATCATGCCATCCTGTCCTCTGCACTGCTGCAGTGGTGTTCAGAGCAGGCTCCTGGCCAGCAGCTGCTGCTCTCTGGCTGCCCACCACCAATAGCACCACAGATGTAAGGCTGGCAATACTGACCTTTCTCCCATACACAGCACCTCTTTGGGTCAGAACCCCGACAATTACAACACAGTGAAATTTCAGATTCAAATAGCTGAAATCGTGAAATTTACGATTTTTAAAATCCTATGACTGTGAAATTGACCAAAGTGGACCATGAATTTTGTAGGGCCCTACCTGTCTCCTTTTGAAGCCACTGACCATACTCTCCTCATTCCATCTCAGCCGCTCTCTTGCACAGTCTGCCCGGTCCAGACTCCAACATAGCAACCCTTTTTGGGGTTCTTACGGAGGACAAATAAGATCTCAGGCCCCAGCATTCTTTTCTCTGCAGGGTGTAGTGCAATGGCACCACCTGGTGCATGGTCTCCAAGTCACAGTGAGCAGCTGCACAGCTTGTAGGACGCTCTGTCAGCCTCAGCTGGAACTCATCTCCCTGGAAACTTTGGGCCAGGTGGTTTGGGATATTCAGTACATCTGCAAACGACTTCTCAGAGGGTATGTCTACACTACAAAGTTAATTCGAACTAACAGCCGTTAGTTCGATTTAACTTTCATAGGCGCTACACATGCAAACCGCTAGTTCGAACTTAATTCGAACTAGCAGAGCACTTAATTCGAACTAGGTAAAACTCATTCTACGAGGAGTAATGCCTAGTTCGAATTGAGTAGTTTGAATTAAGAGCTGTGTAGCCACTTAATTCAAACTAGTTGGAGGCTAGCCCTTCCCAGGTTGCCCTGGTGGCCACATGAGCCAAACCAGGGAAACTCTACTGCCCCCCTCCCAGCCCCGAAGCCCTTAAAGGGGCACGGGCTGGCTATGGTGCCCGTGCCAGGTGCAAGCCCGCGCACGGAGCCGCCCGCCCCCTGCCACCCAGACCTCTGCCTCTTCCCGGGACCAGGCTGGTGGCTCCCAGGAGCCTGCCCGGGGCCGCAAGAGGCAGGTGCCCGCCTGGTCTAGTGCGGAGCTCGTGGACCTCATCGAGGTTTGGGAGGAGGCCTCCAACATCCACAATCTCTGCACTAGGCACAGGAAGGTGGCTGTCTAGGGCAGGATAGCTGCCAGCCTGGCCACAAAAGGCCACATGCGAACCCAGGAGCAGGTTTGCATGAAAATCAAGGTGGCCCAGTGAGACCCCTGACTCTGAGCTCTGAGCTTAGAACATAAGAACATAAGAACGGCCATACTGGGTCAGACCAAAGGTCCATGTAGCCTGTCTGCCGACAGTGGCCAACACCAGGTCCCCCTGGAGGGGATGGACCGAAGACAATGACCAAGTGACTTGTCTCGTGCCATCCATCTCCAGCCTTCCACAAACAGAGGCCAGGGACACCATTTCTACCCCCTGGCTAATAGCACTCCATGGACCCAACCTCCATGACTTTATCTAACTTCTCTTTAAACGCTGTTATAGTCCTAGCCTTCACAGCCTCCTGTGGCAAGGAGTTCCACAGGTTGATTATTTGCTTTGTGAAGAAGAACTTTCTTTTATTCATTTGAAGCCTGCTACCAATTAATTTCATTTGGTGTTGTCTAGGCCTTCTATTATGGGAACTAATGAAGAACTTTTCTTTATGCACCCTCTCCACACCACTCGTGCTTTTATAGACCTCTATCATATCCCCCCTCAGTCTCCTCTTTTCTAAGCTGAAAAGTCCCAGTCTCTTCATATGGGACCTGTTCCAAACCCCTAATCATTGTAGTTACCCTTTTCTGAACCCTTTCCATGGCCAAAACATCTTTTCTGAGGTGAGGAGACCACATCTGTACACATTACTGAAGATATGGCGTACCGTAGTTTTATCCTTCCTCTCCTCCTCCTTCCCCTGGCTTCCCCCTTCCAGCTCCCTCCTCCCAGGTTTCCCCTACCCTCTTCTACCCTCTCTCTTCCCCTCTCCCACCTCCTTTTCCCAGTCTCCCTAAAGGTTAATCCCGCCCCCTCCAGTTTTGTTAAATAAAGAGAGTTTCTATTTTTGAACACACGTGTCCTTTATTTTTTACATCAGGAATCGTAAATTTCAGGGGCTAGGGAGGGGTAAGTGGAAGGAGGTGAGGGAGGAATGGGGTACGAGCCCCCGATGGGGAGGACTGGGGTGGCTCTGTGGGCTACTCGGGGTGGAAGTTCTCTTGCAGGGCCTCCTGGATCTTGACAGCCCCCCGATTGACCCCACCGGATGGCAGCCTGCAGCAAGTGCAGCCGGGCTGATGGCCGAGTGCTGTGATGTGCCGAGTGTGGGCACTCAGGGCACTCCAAGCCAGCACTGCTTTGCTGTCCCTCATTGAGTTAGACAAGCAAGCGGGGAACCCTGAGAACTGTCTGTCCGGGGTGGGGGTCGGGTCCCTTTAAGCACAGCCCTCAGCTAGCCTGAGGCAGCAGCTCCACACTCTAAGTCCTAACCTGATGCTCTGTCTGCACTGGTTCCAGCCAGCCTTAACTTCGGTTCAGGGTCCACTCAGTGTGGACATGGTAATGTGAATTAGTTTTTAGGTCTAGATGCACTAATTTGAATTATCTTAGTTTGAATTAACTAATTCGAATTAGCTTAGTTTGAATTAGTGCTGTAGTGTAGACATCCCCAGAAGTACGAGGAGTGCCCCCTCGGCCTGCTCACTTCCCGCCATGAGCCCCACTCTGCCACTGCATGCACTGCTCAATTCTGTGGATGAAATTTTGTCTGTCTCCCGTGCTGACCATCTGGCATCTTTCACTGTGTTTACTTTAAAGGCTGATTAAAGAAAATAATTGTGGGAGTTTCTCTCTTTTTTATATGCAGGGTCAAAGGTGAGTTCTTGCAGGATTCCCATTCCAAGGGCCTCTCTCCTCATTCCAGTTGTCAAGCGCTCGTCCTTCTTCTAACCAAAGAATGGGGGGCCGTGTCTCCAACTCCTCGGACCCGCCTCTCTGAGGCCCAGAATCTTGTCTAAGCCTGTCCCTTCCTGCCTCCTCTGACATTCATGGGCAGCTGGGGCAGAATCTCTCTTCAAATAGCTTCTCTTCCTTTGACTCTCAATACTCTGCCTGGAACAATGGGGCCTCACCCCAATGCTGGGTTGCTCGTTGGTTTGACTTCCTCTTCCTTCTGAGGTTTTCGTATCAGGAGTTTATTTTGCCCAGTCAGCCTGTCCTACTGCAGCTGAAAGAGGGGTAGAAACAGGCGAGTTGAAAACACTAGGGAACACGTGGCAAACCTGACTGTACATGTCAGTCTTCTCCCTTGGTATCTTGAACACTCCCTACAGCACATGACCAGCCAGCCAGGCATGGAGAATCAGCAGAGAAACTGACTCGACAGCTGGGAGAGTGGTGTGCTGGCATCAGAGACTCCAGGACATGAACCATGAGACCAAACCAGCTAATTAAATTCACCTTGTTTGTCTCCTGTTACCTCTTCTGGGTAAGTCTGAGCAGAGCTGGGGCTGCCAGGCCCAGCATGAGGCTGACACTGGCTGCATAGCAAGATCACTGCTTGCAGGGAAACCCACTTTCAAGGTCACCCCAGTGGAGAGTCCGTCTGGCCAATTGTGATACTAGGGCCCTGTGGTGAGGAAGTCAGGATGCAAGTCCCTTCTATATTGCTAATCAACCCTCTGGTGTCTGGGCTCCCCTTGGACAAGCTGCAAGCTTGTCCCTTCTCCGGCAGGACAAATGTCTCCAGCTCCCAGGAGCAGATGTTGTTGGGGATTTTTTCCTCTTGAAAAATGATGAGTTTGTCTCTGATTCTTCCTCCCTAGGTGGCCAGTGGGCTCATGGTAGCAGTTGGCATATATGCCAAACTCTCTAAAGAAGCCAGTAAGTATCATTTCCAGCCTCTCCCTGGGTTATCACACTGGAGTTTAGATAAAGGTAATGAAGTGACTGCAGGATAATTGTGCTGTCATTACTCCCTTTCCATGACTGCTTGGGGAGGTGCTTTGTGGCCCATCTCTGACTGGCAATTTTCAAATCACCCGCCTGCATTGTTCCTGTATGTCACTCCCATGGTGTTGCCTGATCCTTTTGATGATCTCCAAGGGTGAGAAGAATGATTAATAACTGCACACAATTTTCATGCTCAAAGGCTGCTGATTTGTTCAGTAATCTCTCGCTATATATCTATGTTAGAGAGTTTGTGTGTCTGTCTGTCTGTGAGTCTGTACATCTGTGAGTTCATTTGTTCAGGAACTTTTCCTAAACGATAAGAGCTAGGACCAGCAATTTCGGTATGCAGTGTCCTCTTATCCTAACTTAAAACAAGGCCAGGGTTTGATTGTGCCAGGAAAATGGGATGTGCCTGGAATAGGATGGTTCTCCATAACACAGAAAGGGAGGGGCCTGAGAGCATTGCCATGCTCTGCAATGAGCACTGGGTGCAGCAAGCATGGGGAGTTATACTGCAGAGTGACCACAGGGAGGCAGCTGCACCAGGAAGAGAGTGGCCAGCTGGGGCCAGTGCTCTCCACATGTCTGGCCACTGGCCATGGGTAAGTGGCCCAACTGCTTCAAAACCCTCCCCACAGCCCATGGGAGTACTGCCAGCATGAGTCTGCCCCCCTCCAGAGGATCCATGGCCCAGGCCCTCCGAGGAACTGCAGGCTGGGCAGTGCAACCCCCAGCAGCTGCACCAGGAAGAGAGTGGCCAGCTGGGGCCAGTGCTCTCCACATGTCTGGCCACTGGCCATGGGTAAGTGGCCCAACTGCTTCAAAACCCTCCCCACAGCCCATGGGAGTACTGCCAGCATGAGTCTGCCCCCCTCCAGAGGATCCATGGCCCAGGCCCTCCGAGGAACTGCAGGCTGGGCAGTGCAACCCCCAACTTCAAGGAGCCAGGCCAGGCAGCACAACCCTGCCCCCCTCCCTCCGCCCAGTCCCGCTCCAAGGAGCC